TGTCATGTTTAACGTTTTAACATTCTAATCCAAATTTAGCTTTCTGATACTCCAAATTGAATGATTGTGGATGGAAAAATAGAAACTATCCACTTTTCTGTCTTTTCTCTGAATATAAAAGTGCGAATAATAATACTCAAAAACAGTCCAACGGGCCATTTTTAAAATTTTAAGTGCGATTTTTTCAAAAATCCTCCAATAAAATTAAAACAGTATCAAAATCGCATTTAGCATTACAAAAAATAAAAGATTCATCCTGTTTCGTCTAAACGAGGAAAGAAGTGAGAAGAGGGCTATCATTTCGGTCTCTTTCCAAACCCTTCAATTTTTGCAACTTAAATATGGACTACTGTAAGTTGCGCATCATACGATGCGATATATTGTTAAGCAGAACAACAAATAGTGTTGAAATTGTTAGGTCTGTTTGTGACTGCACGTAGCAATATAGTCCTAATTTTTTTCAGAAAATCCTTAAAAAACTTCCTTCTTTAAAATATCAAAAAATTGAGAAACCGCCATCTGTTGTCTTAAAAAAAAATCTGCGAAAGATTTAATTTTGTTTGATAAATTAAAATACAACGTTTCAAAGAAGTGACAGTTTCGTTATGACTGCACGCAGCGTGATGTAATGTACTTACATGAGTGGATTTAAATAAAAACACAATGCAAAAGTTGCGAGACTTATTTGCTACAATAATTCTTTATCACATCTTTTCTCATTTGAGATACCTAAAAAAATAAATAATAAATAAATAATATAAATATGTATTGTATTACTCTTTGAAAAATTTGGTCAGATTCGTCGATGAATGTGGAAAAGGATTTAGTAAATTAAAAAAAAAACCCAGGCTATCTTAAGCGTACTCTAGAGAATATCTTTGGGATACAAAATCACCTAATGTTCTATTAGTTAATTTGTACTACTCTAAGTGAAAAATGTGCAAGTTACTGTGGATTATGTTCGAGAACTAACAAAATTAAGACTGTGCGTGATTCAGATGCGTATACAAGGTTTCATGCGCGCAAAATGTTGGAAAATTTACAGCAGTCAAAGCCGTTGTGAATTCGGGAAGTTTTACATCGATCTTACAAAGATAAAGTCAAACAATTTGTCTAAATCACCATAAAAATAATCGTTACAATAAATAACACCACATATGTAGCTCGACGTGACATCTAACTAGGTTTGCTGGGCGGCGTATTGGAGTCAAATTCAATCACCCTTTATTGGAGGTTCTGGGCTGGGACCCTACAGTTCTGTTTTAATCACGTAACAGGCATGCGACGTGTTTGCCTATTCGTCTGATTGCTCATGGCCTAAATGAATTTGGAGTGGACCAGACACACCAGTATACAACATCACAGGATATGGAAAATTGATACAGATGTCCCAGAAATCAACGAAGGGGGAAAAAAATTCTACCTTATTATGTGAGTACAGAAATACACTGAAGAACTATGTAACTAGGACGACAAAATTACAATTACAAAAATATTTGTAATCGAGCCATCTTTGAATCCGTAAACGTATGTCTGTTTTCGAACTATTATAACTGCACGTGAAACGTCAAATTAAATGACAAGTCGAAAGTTAAAACGGTAAAATGGGCTGGAACTAGTCGCCGACATATAATAACAAAAAATCATCAAATAAAATAAAATAAAATCATCAAATAAAATCACCATCTTTTTGATTATGCCATTTTACCTTTCCACTTATCATTTTATTTGACGTTTCACAGACATACGTTTTCGGATCCAAGCATAACTCGATTACAAATTATTTTGGTCTCTCGATATAATATACAGGCTGTCTCAGCGAATTGAAAAAGTACATTAGTGACCTTTAAATGGTAAAATTAAAAAAAAAATTGTATAGGACATTGATAAATACTAATCTAGTACATCACCTAAAATTATTTTCAACCCTACAGCATGTCCCAAAAATAAGTTACGATACAAACTTGTGTTTTTTTTTAAATGAAACACCGTATGTTTCTTTGTATTTTTGGATGTAGCCTTTTAAAACAATGTTTTTACGCTAAATTTTTATTAGTCGATTTCGCTTAGTTTTAGGAATAAGACGTTCTTTTTGACAAAAACATGCACGTTTTAAAAATTTATTACACAAACAATAAGACAGCTAGAACAAATTTTTTCTTACCTCTGCAAAGAAGAAAGTACAGAATTTAAAACTGTAGCAATTTTTTAGGGTTTTGCATTTGTAAAGATTAATAAATTAAGAAGTTTGTTAAAAGTTAAATAACTTAAAAAATTTAGATGGAACACCCTATTTTTTATTTTTGTATCTAATAGATTGATAAATTGTCTATCTAAAAAAAAACTTTGAATGTCTACAATTGATAAATGAAAAGATATTTAACATTCAATATTAATTGTAGCAACAATGCCTATCAATATCTTAGCATTGTTGCTACTATAGCAACCGTAGTAATTCCACCACGGATTATTTATCCGTTGATTTATCCAGAGATTGTAAAAGTCGTTATAAATATTGAAATTCGAATTATTTTATTGTAAAAATAAAGAATAATGGATTCTGTTTAACATAAATGTGATTAAGTGAGATTTCTTCCATCTCTTGTGCAACTGTGCACTTTCTGGCTACTGAAACAATAGTAATTATTTTTTTTTATGTTTAACGTTAAATATCTTTTTAGTTATTGATCAAAAAAACACCTAAAAGTAAATAATTTTAGAAGGACAATTTCATAATCTTTCAAATGTAAAAAACAATAAATAGGGTGTTCCATTTCAATTTTTTAAGTTATTGAACTTTTAACAAACGCATTCATTTTTTTTATCTTTGCGAATGCAACACACTAAAAAAATGTTACAATCTTATACCTTGTACCTTCTTCCTTGCGGTAGTAAAACAATATTTCTAAATGTCTTAGTTTTTGTGTAATAGATTTTTAAAAAGTGCGTGTTTTCGTCAAAAAAAACGTCTTTTTTTTAAAACAAAGAAAAATCGACCAATAAAAGTTTAGCTCAAAAACATTGTCATAAAAATCTACATCCAAAAACCCTAAGAAACATATAGTGTTTCATTTAAAAAACGCTGTACAGTGGAAAATAATTTTAAGCGATAGACTAGATTAGTATCTATCAATGTAATATGTATTATTTTTTTTTAATTTTACCCTTTAACGGTTACTAATATACTTTTTCAAATCGCTGGGACACCCTGTATGTATATAAATCCAAACCAGTGAGAGGCAGATAATTCTTTAAATAAAATTTTCCAGCATTTATTATTAACAATAAAGAGCTACTACTTCCTTTCAGTGAGTTTTATATATATATCTATAACCGATGCACAGATTGTGGTAGGTATCCCAACCGTATCAGGACAGTAACTAACTCGTTCTTGCCAATTTGGAAAATAAACAATGCGGGTTTATTAAAATGCTTACCTTTTTAAGGTCTTTGTTAGGTTCTCCGTCGTCTGCTTTTCTCTTTTCAGTTCCTGTCAATTTGCCCTTGTCCTTTTCACCTCCGCATATCTGCAAAACCAAGAAACATAATTAAGAACGTTTAATTGCTAACAGGAAACGAAAATCCTAAAAGCTTCTTTCACAAAAGAACGTTTATACTTTGAAGCTTAATTTACACTCGCATCAAATTTAATGAACCCTACAAAAATTGAGTGAAATAGTTTTGTTGGTGAAAGAACTGGAATAATTTCATTATTGTCGAAAATCATTAATACTTATATTATGCGCGTATGTATTTGGTCACACATTGAGACACATACTCGTACCAGATCGGCTTGTAGGTAATTTTTTAAATACCATTAAGTTACCATTCAAACAAAAAAATCTTGTCAAAAGTAAGTTTTGAAAACGGTTTTTATTTCTTTGTAGGAAATTAATAAGGAATGTGGAAAAAAAATTAGTTCCAAAATTTTTACAAAAAATTTGTAGAGATTTAAGATTTCATTTAGCGCTCAGGATGTCCTTGATGACAGAGCGGTAAACGAAATAGCATTAAACTAAATAATTTTAACATAAATTTTACATAATAATGTAAAATAAATAAGGAAAGGGAAACACGTGACCAAAAACATGCTCTGCCTGCGTTTAAATTTAAGTTAATTTTATATTACAGACTTTGCATAATAATATAAACATCACGTAATACTTAGGTGACAACTTCAGAAAATTTAAAACAAAAACAAATATGGAAAGTACAGGCGCATTGTCACTTTCTGATAATTTAATGTAAATTTGGAGCTTTTTTGAGCTTCAAGCAGACCGTATTGTATTGAACCAGAGAGGAACGCTACGCAAGGACTAACTGTATGTTTTATCACATTAAGAATTCTTTTTAATAAATTTCAACCAATTAATGTTATAAATTTAAAACAAAGTTGAAGAAAGAAGAAGATAAACTAACAAATGGTAATAACACATGTATTTTTCCATAATATAAGTACCTACTTATCAATTTTAATAATAATAATAAAAGTAGGCATCTATTTAAACAATTATTACGCTAACTGGAATTTAAATTTGGCTGTTATCAGATATAGACTTAACCATGTTAACAAAGTTCGTGAATTCGTTTGGGAGCATAAAGGGTTACCCGAACTTTGAGATACTGCGAGACTGATAACCTTGCTGTTTGTGGTTTGGAAATTAATTTTGATGGTATACTATTGAAATAAAAATGCAACTGATATTAAATTATTATACAGGATGTTCCGTTTTTATTGTTACAAATTGAAACAGGTGATAGAATATTCAATTTTAAGACAAAAGTTTCCTATGAACATGTAAGCGAGCTACATCCCCTGAAAAAAATGCGTTTTTTAATGGGGTTTTTCCACTATTGCAGAATAGATAAAATTACAAAAGTTGGAATAGCTGATATCCTTAAAACACTTGAACGAAGTCAAAATTTTAAATAAATTTTTTAATCACGGGCGTCTTAAACGGAATTTAATTATTTATTTTTATTTTTTTTATGGTCTGTAACACATATTGTAAACTGATTTACAAACGATAAATTGTATTGAAAAAACGCAAGAGACCTATTTTTTGTGAAAAACTATGAAATTAAAAATTGTGTGACTGAAAGTGGCAACAACCAAACTATTTAGGGTACTTTTACCCTAAACCCCCCCAATATAGTAGGCCCCTGAGTAAAAATTTCGACATTTTATCTTTGAATTTGTTTGGGTGTATAAAGGTTATCAGTTGTATCAAATTGTGAAATTTTATCTACAATGATTGTTGAAATATTGGAATAAATTCATGAAAAAATGTACCCCTTTTAGGAGATGTAGCTCGCTTTTTTAATATTTTTCGACACATCTTCATAGGAAACTTTTATCTTAAAATTGAATATTCTATCACCTGCTTAAATTTGTAACTACAAAAACGGAACATTAAAAAACAAGTGTTACACACACCCTCCAATGAGGGTACATACACGGTGCGCCAGAGCTCGCGCCCCAGAGAAAAATGCCATCATATAAGTAACCCAGGAACATAGAAAAAATTTATCTATAAAAAGTTCGAAGTTATGAGAGTTTACATTTTGCACCTTGACGCTATTTTTTCTGTTGGAAATAGCTATAGGCTATTTTAGAAGAGGAAACAAGGAAGCTGTATCCTAAATTGTAAATCTGTTCAATGTTATTTGTGGCTTTTATTCCGAAAATTTTTGTACCTTTACTACATAATTGTACAAAACATACAGGCTGTTCCGTCTAAACCCCACATTAAAAGTATTGGGGGTTCGAATAATCATTATTATCATAAATTGGTACATAGCCATAATGCATTAAGTCCTCCTAAATGAAAATATTTTCAAGATGACGGCACTTCCGGTTATACCGGAAGTCGGTCTCAACTTTCTCATTTTAAATGGAAAGCTATATTTTTTATTGCGTTTTTAGATTAATCGGGTCATTCAAAGGGAGTTTTCATCAGCTTTCTCTATACTTAAATTTAGCCGTTTTTGAAATAATAGGAGTTTTTCAAAAAATTTTGTATCTGCACCATCCACTTTAAAAATCGGTAACTCTGCTATTTTTTTAAACTTAAAATTTGTTTTTTTTGGCGTTTGAAAGAGTAAGTTTAGATCTTTCTTCCGGTGTTTACAAATTTAAAAAAAAAACAAACCCTAAAATTTTAAGGTTACTTTTGTAATAATTCAAATACCCATAACTACTCAAATTTTCCAAATGAAATACCCCAATTTTTATTTTACTAAATAAAGAGAATTTAATTCTGCATGTATTAACATTCCCTATACCTAAATTTAATAATTTTTAAGTTATGGTGACTTTCTGTTAAGACTGCCGAAAATCTATTACGTTTTCGTAAGTTTGCTATGGAAATCAAAAATGTCAAAATTGTTTCTCAATAAACGTCGACAGTGACTTATTATTTGACAAATAGTGCCAAAATATGGAGAGTCAAAGCTACTCAAACTTAGATTTAATTAATTTATTTTGTATTTATGGAGAGTGTAACAAAATTATGATGTCGTTCATTAAACAAAAATAAATTACTTACTGCTGGCATGTTCGAATTTGATTAAATTTGACAATACGTATTTGAATGTCAGTTAATCAGTTATCATGACAATAAAGCAAAGACTACAGTGAATTTGTGTGAATTCACGGAAATTTGGTGAACGAAATTCACTGTCCATCACTGTAATAGTACCTGAAATAACCGTTTTGCGTACTATTTTATAGAGTCCGGAAAAGACTCATTTTAGGGACTCAAATCAGTCCCTAAAACAGCTGTTTGCGGCAGCGTATACAAAATTTTTTATTTAGACACACAAATCGCTCAAACAACATAAGTGTCTGTAAAATTCTCTCACTCAAAAATGACTCAGTGAGGGTAAAAGTACTAGATAAACAGTTACCAAAAACAGTGTTACAAAGTTGCATTTTGTAGCACTGTTTTTTAATTAAACAAAATCGTGTAGTACATAACGAACAAGGAAAGTGATAAATAACGCAGAAGCGGGAAAGTTGCGCAGGAGGCGTTAGCCGAGTGCAGGCAATCCCGCGAGTGCGTTAGACACTTTCCTGCAAGTTTTGTACCTACATTATTTTTCCTATGACCATAAATATTTTTTTCTTACGAACATATTTTTTCTCATAACGATTTATTTTTCATAATGGATACAAAAAAATACGTTGAATGAAAAAATACAAAACATTCGAGTGTGAATTGTGCGTTAGATTTCTGACACACAGCGCGAAAACAAATCGCACAGGTTTTTGACCTTGAACGATATTGCCAATTTTCGCGCATATGTAATTGTGCGTTATGAGCTATAGTTTCGTAAATGCTACATGGTCGTAGGAAAAGAATTATGTACGCTGTAGTAACACTAACAACATTACGGATTGTGACTAAATATAGATGTATGTCGATGTTGATTCTGAAAAACCTTCTACATAATGTTGTAATATGTAATGTCAGAATGTAATGTAATTTGTCAGAAAGTGAAAAAATACATAGTTCGAAAAGTGAATCCTACACTTGTTATTATAGAACAAAAAAAAGTGGCTTTAAGGAGGTGTAAGATAGTACAATTGGTGTAAAGATAGCAGTTTTTCTAAAACAGACGATCAGACGATGATGTACGGGATGTTTAAAACATTCTAGGAGTAAGTTTGTTACAAATCAAATTTTTAACGCTTGAGCTTCTATTCTTTTTAAAGTTTTATACAGTCATTATAAATAAATATATTAAGTCAAATTAATAGTTACGTCCAGCAAAATTTTTGTTTTCATTTAATTTTCAGAGAATCAGTTTTCCTAATTTATTTTTTTCTTCTTATCGTAGATGAGATTATGTCATTTTTGTACTTCTGCAATTCTAAAAGAATTTTCTAACTTCATAATATGAAATATTTCTTGAAACAACAAAGAAACTGCAAAAAATTGAAAGTGTTAAAATTTGCCTCACTACCTCACTATTTTAACATAAAACAAACCCATTTGTTGTTTTTAACAGTTTGGACGTAGACAGAAGTATTTTAGAGTTGGGGTTATTGTGATGTTTTTAATGAGAAAATCGAAGTTTTTTATTTAATTTTGCATTAATTTAAACTAGAAATACTTCCATTAGTACTTGTGATGGTAATAGATCTCAATAATAAGATTCTAGAAATATTTGTATCAATGTAATACCCTACAACATCGGCAATTACCCACAATGGGTAATTATTATCGCCCATGGTCCTTAATGAAAATAATTATTGACTACTAAGACAGAAAAACAACTTCACAACCTCTCGACAAACTAAACAATGGTATTTTTTACAGCTAGTAGTGAAAAAAAACATTTACATATGCCTATCCAATTTTCCCGATACAAAAAAACTGATCTGAAAAATTTTAATAACAGAACTTTACTTTTAAACTTCGCTTAAAACGCAAAATCACTTCAAATTGTCCTTTAATGTATAATCTTTGGTCTCTTTATATTCACTTTCCGGAAAGAAAACAGTTTTTGTGAATGTAAAAAC